ATATAGGAATACTCCAGTGTCTCGCTGCTGTTCAGTTTTCTCAACAGTGTGACATTCTTTTGTTAACTAAATTAAAATCCACTCCAGATCCTTAACTCTTAGCCAGTGTCTGGTGAATCCAAACTCCAGGATTTCCAGTGTCTCGGTATATCATCTCACTCGGAACAAAGATGGACACTATACCAAAATACGTTTGATTAACTCTTTGGCAGGGCCTGGTAGTATTAACAGTGAACGCAGACGTTTGGGATGAGGCGGTGGAGCCACTGAGGAATATTCCCATTGGTTACCCTGTAGGACAGACATGTTTGGGACAAAGACAAACTCTCTGACCCCCTATTCCCCTTGAAACACGTCTCTGTGTGGGATGGATGTTTTCTCTTCTAGCTGTTCTTTTGCATTAAAACATTCAAATGAAATTAAGGAAAATCACCTTCATTTTCCTGTCTTAAGAAAAAGAAAAATCAAAAGCCAAAAACCTCTATTGGATCTTACCACCTTGGTGTGGAGGGTGTATCCAGAGCATGGTGCTAATATGCGATGTTTAGGAGTTCTCACCTCCTCAGAATCCCAGACAGCAGCAGTGACGGGCACTGTACTTCAAAATTCAGGGGTTTCATTCTTTTGCTTCTGTTATGGTTTGAATTTGGCCAAAGTCTCTGGCTTAAATTGAGCTACTTCAAGAAGAGTTCCCTCAAACCTCTATTTGTGTAATGTAAAGCATGACTAAATGCTGGATCCAAATGATGTCTATCCCATATTGGCTTTTTTGTATCCAAAAGAATTGTGTAGTAACCATTTTTACATGTATATCATGTGCAGACCTGGACTATTCCAATGAGTTAATATTTTAATTAAAATAGTTTGCAAAAACTGATTCAGATCAACCTTGTCTAAATGTGTGTGTCTCTGTGTGTACATGTGGGGAACAGAAGCTACCTTCTGAGTGAGTTTGATCTCAAGAGATGTCTCCCAATTACTCAGTTGTTGTAATCTGTGGAAACCGCTTCATATTGTGTAGTGGAGGTATACGAGGAGATAAATTAGCGTATATATAATATGTGTTAGATATCATATATATCACATAAATATCTTTGTGAGATATATGTATAAATATCAAATCAAAATAGTCCAGAGACGCAAACACTTTCTGAATCAGTTTGCAAACTCCATTTTTAAAAATTAAAACTAACTACTCCACATTCTCCTGTACCCACCCACCCCCTCACACCGCCGCCACGCTGTACTGTACCCATCCACCCCCTCACACTGCCATCGTGCTGTACTGTACCCCCCACCCCCTCACGCCGCGCTGCACTGTACCCCCCGGCCCCCATGACAACGCCACTCTGCACTGTACCCCCGCCCCCTCACGCTGCCGCCGCGCTGCACTGTATCCCCCGCCCCCTCACGACAATGACGCGCTGCACTGTACCCCCCGCCCCCTCATGCCGCCGCGCTGCACTGTACCCCTCACACCACCGCCATGCTGCACTGTACCCCCCGCCCCCTCACGACGCCGCTGCGCTGCACTGTATCCCCCGCCCCCTCATGACGATGACGCGCTGCACTGTATCCCCCACCCCCTCACACCGCAGCCATGCTGCACTGTACCCACCCGCCCCCTGATTACAACGCCATGCTGACATGTACCCACCCGCCCTCTCATGCCCCTGTCGGGCTGTTCCGTACCCATCCCCTTGCACCACCATGCTGTACTGTACCCCCCCACACCCGCTGATGCTGTGCTGTACTGTACCCCCCGCCTCCTCACACCACCGCCGTGCTGCACTGTACCCGCCCCCTCACGACGCCACTGCACTGTACCCACCCCCTCATGCCGCTGTGCTGCACTGTACCCACCCTCTCACACACTGCCATCGCGCTGTACTACACCCGCCCACTCACGCCGTCCTGCTGTATTGTACCACCCGCCCCCTCAGGCTGCCGTCGCGCTGTACTGTACCTACCTACCCACCCGCCCCCTCTCGCCGCCGTGCTGTCCTGTACCCACCCCCTCACTCACGCCCCAACCAGGGCTTTAAAAATACTGTAAATTGTGAAAACTACTCCCAGTGTCTCAGCAAGATGCTAGTTTTCCATCTTCTATGTGAGGATTAACACTGGGGAAATGACTGTGAATATTACTTTACAATTTTTATGACAGTATTTTAAAATACTGGTGCCAGCTTGACACCTACAATATATTATTCTGTGTGTTTGGTTTGTTCCCTTTTGCACAGACCTTAAACTCTGATTAAAGTTTAGTCCAGAGGGGCAATAGCAGGAGAGTTGGCATTTTTCACCTCTTTCATCATATTACACTGCTTTTGGTTTTGTTCATTAAATCAGTGAAAGGGACCACGTGTGCTTTGTTTGTTGTGGTTTCTGGAAAACAGAGGCCGCCTCCCCCATTCCCATTGACTGTTGTGCACTTAATTCCTTGGACACAACACTGGAACTTTCACCTGCATTCAGTCTAACCCTGTAAACTTCCAAGGGGTTGAAAAACAACCACGGTACTGCACAGTAACAAATCATTGAATGGAGAAGTCCCCGCAGATATTTCTTATCTACAAGTCCTGCCTTGGGGCAGACTAGAGCTGCTGTACTTTCAGTACAGCCGCAGTTAACTTTGATTAAGTAGAATGTTGCACGTTGTCAATGAAACCTGCACAGAGTACACGATGGTGGATACTGGAATAATACTGCTTATTATCACAAAGGGGAAAATGGCCTGTTGAACTCAAAACCTTGATCCTGTCCACTCTTTATTGGCGAAAATAAATTGTATTATACCAATATCTACTGTTACTCTGTTAAATACGCACATCTCTCAGGAGATCTATCTAATGGTATCTCATTTGTGTATATTTATATACTCTGGGTGTGTGTGTGTGTATGCGCGCACACAACTCATGTTGTGCATTTCTGTCAGGGCACTTAGCATTCCCTCAGCTGATAAGCTGACAGGACAATTTGTGCAGCAGGGCTGTGTTAGGGGGAGGATGTGAGCAGAAGTGCACAAGGGTTGAATGGAGTGGGCAAGCGCTGGTTTAAATCCTGCCCTGCGTTGTGCGGGATGTTGGAGGGTTCTGTAGCTGCTGCAGGCATGTGAAAGGAGGGAAGAGCGCTCGTGAAGGGTACAGCGAAGTTAGAAGGCAGCGCAGAAAGCAAGTTTGCATAGCACGAGGGAAGCGGCGTGGGGAGCTACTGGTGCTGTTTGCAGTATGCTTGTAGTCAGTGTGCTGTGGGGAAAGGCAGTGGTACGTAAGAGTGAAATGTTCTGCAGTCTGAGCTCAGAATCCCTAGGCATAGTTCATCTCAAAAGATCACAAACCCCGTATAGTCTTCATTAACCTTCTACATTTCTGGGGATCAGCTGCCACGAACTATAAATTCTGCTCTCTGCACCTTTGTTGTTGTTCCATGTGCATTAAGCTAAGGCCAAAACATAAGATAAAACTGTGAAGTTACTTCTTATTAGCTTCATTCTTTATCCTTCTCCCCACCCATTCCTTCCAGAGCATGGACACGTGTCTCTAAGTCTGGTTCCCCACCACCAATGGACTGTGTGCTGGGAACAGCATCATTTTCATCCTTGATGCCAGTTCTGTGTGCCCATGTAATGCTGCAGGCTTCTGAGTGATGGGGTAACAGCTGGACAGAGTCAGCCCTTAGAACCTGATTTTCTAGGTCTGGAAACCTTCAGGTTCCTGGCATCTCTCCTCCCCCTACCCCACCCCCACCCTTGGATAGCAGTGAGGCGTCTGGCAGTTTGGGGAGAGGTGTCGGTTCCTGCATGTGTCAGGTCAGAGTTGCACATAGGAAGGGCATCTCTTTGTTAGTGGGGCATGTTCCTGCAGTCTCAGATCTTGCGAGCGTAACAGCATGCCACACATAAGGTGTCTCTTCCTCATGGCGGTGGTGTGTCCATACCAAAGGGAAGCCCCCAGACACCTGTTCCTGTGGGTTATAGTTACTCTCAGCAGTGTGGTTCCTTTGAAAGCAGGTTTGTAACCTTTCTTTTTCAGTCTCTCCAAGCTTTTGGCTTCCCTACCCTGTCAGCAGGAGTGTCTGTTCTTTTAAAACTGTCCATGCTCCTGGTTTAAAGACCATGGCACGGTTCCACACACCACCCCCCCCTGGACTCCAGTCAGATTGTGAGCCTAGAAGTGGGGTTTCTGTCCTTAAGAAAGTTAGGTGCCTGTAGCAAGAACTTGGAATTGATGTATGTCTTGCTGTATTCGTTTGAGTTTGCACTGTCAGGATTCGTTTCCATGGGAGCCAGTGGAGAAATGTTTGCGAGACTGTGCTGAGGGGTGCAGGTGGCTGTCAGATCTGGGAAGAAGCCAGCTGACTTAGTGGTTTTATTAAAACATTACCCCAAAAGAGAGACAGACGCAGATAACCCTGATTCCTGTTGTGTAACAGAACTCAACCAATTGGGCCTGTCAGGGTCACTCATGTGCCTGGGATACCCCGTTCCCAACCCTTGGCTAAATGCTGGAGGAAGAAAGCCTGGCTCAGCTAGAGAGGGCTGGATAAATAACGCATACAGCAGCAACCAAGCAGCTGACCCAAGCTGTGGGCCTCGGCGTGCTTGTGCTTTTGGAGGTACATTTACCCCACCTCTCTGCCATCTAGCCATATTCTGTAAATCCGGGGTTAGCCCCTCTGCAGCCACACGCTCAGCCTGGAAGTCTGTCGGTAGTCTGCCAATGAGAGACGGGAGTTACCACCCCCCAATGTGCACAAAATCAGGGGTATCTCCTGTCCCCCTCCCGGTACGGGTACCTCAGAACGTGTACCGTTCACATTTTCACTGACAATCGGGTTAATGATTGTGAGTGAAAATACTGTAATTATCTGTAAATATGTAGTTACCAAATTGACCTAGTTCCTGTATTTTTTAAGTTTTTGTACTAAAGTTTATAGATACAGTATGTGCCAACTAGAGAGGAGCTACTGTCGTTGCCAGTTGTAGCACAGCCTGCATCTAACCCCTTCAGTGGCCCGTGTGACTCTAAGGATTCATGCTTAAATATCGTAAGAATGGGGGTGGGGGGGAAGATAAAGGAGAATAATGGCTTAATTTGCTGCCCAGGTGGAAATGCTTCTGGAACTAACAAAACATGATTGATCCATATCTTCTATATTCACCGTTTAAGTTGGGTCCCCTGTGTTTTAGATGCGTGTATGCAAAACCTCTGCCCTTTCAGTCTAAATGCAAAGTGCGGTGATGTGGACAGTGCAAAGGATAGAAGTGTTGACTTGGAGCTTTTTCTGGGGTTGAAACTCACATAAACAAAGCCCAATTTCTCTCTGTCCCTTTTAACAGCACCCTTTTATTGTATTTAAAGAATTGTACAGAAAATACATATTTCCCCTCCCACACACACACACACACACACACACACAGGGTTTTGATGCCAGGATAATCTAAAGAGCATGTAAACCATTGGAGAAGAAATTAATTTTATGAAGCTCGTTGCCTGCTTTTAGTGCCTGTATAACACATTTCTATGGCAACTCTGAGCTCAGCAGAGTTTGGAAGTGAGCACACAGTTGTTAATGAACTGAAGTATGTAATCGCTGCATTTGCATGGCTTGGCATCAGTGTTAGACTAGGGCCACCTGAAAGCATTGGAGGCAAATTCTTGCTTGGAAATGGTCATTTGCTTAAGTTTCACTTGACTAAATGCATTGCCAAGGCATGGTGTGTTCTAGAAATCGCATGTGGTCAAGGAATGGAACATGCAGAGGTGGGGGACAGTTTTCTGCCATCGAGCAGGCTCTCCGTGCAGACTGGTGGGTGTACTCCCACTCCCCTGCAGGCAGATGCTTAGGTGGTTGAGCTGTAGGCTACAGCTGACTTGCATTGTAGTTTTTGTTTTCAACACCCATTACTAAATTAGAGAGTCTTTTCCCTTGGATTGCATATGAATGAAATAATCTGTCTCACCTCACTTGTCCCACCTTCACTGAGTATCTCATGGCGTAGGCAAAGCTGCAACCCTGGAATAGCTCTGAGAGCTAGAGGTCTACAAGAAAAGAAAAATTACCACTAGGGAGACCAGTCATTGGAAGATATTTAAGTTTCCCTGGAGGCTGTTGGGATGTGAACTCTTCAAGACACTGACAGGATCAAAGAGGGAAGGAAATGTAGAGATGGAGAGGCGTGGGTGGCGGGTGTGGTTCCTGGCAATCAAAACCACCTGCTTTCTTTCTTCAACCTTCCTTCTTCTCCTAACACCTCTCAGCTCTCACCTAATCTTGCTTGGAAGAGGGACACTTTATCTGACCAAACCAACTCAAATGGGGGGTGGGTCTGATGTAGATACATTAACACTAAAAATCAGATACAGAATTATACCGACTTGAAAATTGTAAATGCTGAAGACGTTTTTATTAACACTTGGGTTGCTAAAATTCCTATTTATGTTCTTCCACGGAAATCATTAACCCATTTAAAACTTAAGGCAAACAGTGATGATGAAAATGCCGGATTACCAGGAGGACGTTAGCTGTCAGAACCCCCTTGGTTTAGTATACAAGAGAGGTAGCATACCATGCATTAAGAGGGGTAGGAGAAGGCTGTGTGAGGTGTGTATAGTGTATATTTTTAAAAATAGCTTATTGCTTGTATTATGAAGACTTTAAAGACAAACTTGAGAATTCTAACATAACTATTAACAAATTGAACAGAAGTTACCCCACTGAGTTCGGAGCGTCTGGAATGTATAATCTGTTTGTAACCCAGAATGATTTATTCTTCTACCAGTCAGCCAGATATCTTATTTCTATGTTTCATTTTGTATATCACTTTCCCTTTTGTTTTCATGATTTCCAGCATGCTTCTGTTTGGTTGGTTGTTTGCACAAGTATTGTGTAAACCAAAAGAAATTTTAACTTGAACCTGGCTTTTTTACTTTCTTGGATTTTCTTCCTCCACACTTTTTGGGGGAACCGGGGTGGGGGGTGTATTTTCCATTTGCAGCTTCCGGGTGAATGCCTGGTCTTTTGCCAGTCAGCTAAAAATGCTTCACTGTCAGTTGCTTTAAAAGAAAATAAAAATGTCACCTTATCAGTTCTAGGTAGCTCATGGGGAGGAGGGCAAGCGCACACCTGTAGCAGCACAAATCTGGCGTTGGTTGCAAAATGAAGGCAAAGCTTGGCTTTAACTAGATAGCTGCAGAGCTACCCCAAGTCCCACGTGTTCTCGCCACAGCCCGGACACAGGCACAGCTGCCATGACCTGCGGTGGGCGCTCAGCTGGCATGAAGGCTGCAGCATGTAGCCAGGTTCCCACAATGGTAGTGGGAGTTAAAATACCCGTGTCCCTCTCGGCTTCCGCCTGTGGGGTCATTGTTACACCCCTTGCTGTGTGCCTGCTAACGTGAGTGGGAAGAGGGATGTTCACAGACACCAAGTAATGTGTTTACTTCTCCTCCCCCTCCCTCCCCGCTTCCCTAACAACCTTCAGCTCATGACCAACAACTCTTCCCCAAGGCCCCAGCCAGTAGAGGGCTTGTTCATTCTGGGGCATTGGGGGTGTGGGTGTAAACATGGCTTTAACAAAGCAAGGCCAGGAGCCGGCCATCACTTTATCATGGGGGGTGCTGCCCACGCCATTATACTGAACAGAGGCCTGAGTCTTCCAAGCCCGATTTCTACAGGGATGGATCACCAAGGGTTAAAACAGGAAAACTGGACTCCTTCCTGCTCACGTTTCTGTTAGCACCAGCTGGGATGGGTGAGTCTACAGGTGTGCATTTTCCTTTTGGTAGAAAATGCCACAAGCACTAACTGATAAGGCTTATTGTACAGTATATTGTCCGTATTCTGGTATCCTTCTGGTTCAACATACATTAGTGCTCATATATAACCTGTATTAATTGTATAGATTGTGCATTTAAAGCTGTTACCAAGTTGTCAGAAAATAAGAGAAGAGAAAATAAGGTCGTATGTAATATTTTGTTTGTAAGTATCCTTTGTAACAGAGCAAAGGAAATGTTAAAAAATCAACTGTAATAAAGTAATTTTAGTACATGGAGCGTCTGCTGCAGGTTTTGAAAGGTGGGATTTAGCCAGGACTCTGGAGCTAATGCCGCCTCCTGTGGAGAGCACCCGAGGATCAGGGCATGGGCTTCACATCTCTCCGAACGCTGTTCCTTCAGCAGCACAGCGCCCTCCCGTGGCAGGGGCACGATGGAGATTGCTTTCACCAGGGGGCGCTCGGGCTGGCCGCTGGGAAGTGCATGAGCTAGTGGAGTTTCATAGGCACAGGGGGAAGCTCAATGAGCCGTGCCCAGCCCTGACAGTGCGCAGCCTGGGCCATTTCCAATGTGGTGGGAACACACCAGTCATGTCAGCCATGTGGGCTTTCAACAGTCTGCTTCTGTGGGGAGGGGATGACAGGGCCTGTGTGCGCAGTGCCTGCCATGCTGGTGCGAGCGCGCAAGGGGAAGGCTGTGCAACATTGGGGGGTGACTGCACAGTGCTGCATGGCCCTTGGACAGCCTCTCCCAGGGACGCTATGGAGAGGTGCTAGACGCAGCACCTGCCTGGCGCTACCTGGTGTAGGACCTCTGCCAGCTGAAGATCTCCTGGAGGTGGCAGGCGGCGGAGGAGGCCTCTCTCTTCTGCGGGACGCCCCTCCTGTACCGGTGCAGCCCCTTCAGCCTCTCCTCCGTGCGAAAGAACTCCGCGACGGCCGTGAAGTACTCCAGCGTCACCTCGTGGCTCCAGGAGCAGGACCCCTCCCTCAGGAAGCCACAGTGCCCGCCGTGTGGTGTCAGCAGCAGGAAGAAGTAGGGGCTGCTATGGAAGAGCTCCATGGGGAGGGTGCTGGCCGGAGGTCCCCGGACGGGGTCGTCGGCGCTGCAGATGCACAGGACCGGGACGGCTGCTTCATCCACCTCCCGGAGGGGGTCGTTGCGATCCCAGTAAGCGTCCCAGGTGACAGGGTGCCTCTTGGTCTGGCAGAAGAGGGTTTCCTCGAATTCCCGGAGCGAGCAACTCCTGAACAGCCTGCCTGTCTCCACAACCTCTGCCAGAGCAGTGACATACCTAGGAGGGACAAAGGCAACAGGCAGGGGCGCACTCACATGGAGCGCCTGTGTCCTCACCAGCACATCGCTGCCCCCTTCTGGATGCTATCAGATTTCTCAAGTGTTTCACGCTGGAGGCGCGTGTCCAACGGCTGCCATAGCTGGCTAGTGGCACTGCCCTGCAGCGGTTCTGGGGTTGGCGCTCCTGAATCCTACCTCCAGTGCCTAGTCTGTTTGGCTTAGTGGGAGCCTGAAGCCACAACATGGCAGGGGTGCTAGATACCATGGTGATGGGCACGTTACAAATGCTTGGCTAGGCCATAGAGTTTGTGTGCATCCGCCCCTATGTTCGTGACACACCCAGTTTACATAAGGCCTTTGAACTCCTCTCTGCACCTTCCCCAGGCCCCACCCGGGGGAGCTAGGTGCAGCTGGGTCCAGGGTGCCCTGCTTGTAGCCCGTCCCATCCAAACCTACAGCCAGTTAGCGCCGCGGGTGCACGTGGTCGTTGAATGCCTCTGCTTTTGCAGTCCCTGCCCATTCGGATCAGAAGGGCCCCATGGCAGCTGTTGTTGGGGCAGGGGTGGCCTGGGGGCTCTGTGGGTCCAGCCCTTCCCTGCTGCAGGAAAGGAGGCGAGTTTCTCGCTCGTTTGTCATTTTGGTCACTTGGGTTGGAAACCATAGCGACGAGGAGAATCCTAGCACCTGGCCTCCCGTCCATGGCTCAGGTTTCCATGACAGCACGCTGAGGCTGCTGCAGCATTTCAGTGTGGGAGATGGCGAGCGGGCCATGCTGTGCGTGAGGAACCCCGCAACCACCCCCGGGTGAGTATGGCACCCAATGCACTACCCCTAAGGGCAGGGTATCCCTGGCTCCCACGCGCGGGGCCAGGGACTCCATGCAGCCCAGAACAATAACAATCCAGTTCAGGAGCACGAGAGTCCCCCTGCCTCTGGGCTGGGCTCCTGAGCATGGCTTTCCCCCTCCCCAGGGCACCTTCTTTCCCCTGGCACCCCCCGAGGTAGCCCCTGGGGCCACTGGACTTCTCCATGTTCCTGGAATTGTCCATTGATGGTCCGTCCCCAGGCTGCATTGCAGCTGGGGCTCTCTCGCTAGCAGCGGGGGGAGAGGGGGGCACTCAGGGTAATGAGTGCAGACAGACATCACCCCAATCAGGTGCCCCCGGGAGCAGACTGGCCAGGGGAAGCTGAGGTCCAGTGGGGTCCTGCTGTCATTCTGAAGCTATTTGCTTTGACTCTCCTAGAAGGGAGGATTTTGAGATGGCTGGTGCGTCTGCCCTTACCCAGCACATCCAAGGCCTGCTCTACACACACACTGTCTCCCGGGATAACACAGTTGTGGTGTCACTCTGGTTACAGCTCTGGTGTGGATGCAGTTCTAGAGGGTTCTAGGTGTCCACACCTGTATAGCTTATTCCCCTCCCCTACAGGACTAGCTGGGCTGGTGCAAAGCACCTTTATACCCCTGTATCGCTGTGCCCCCAAGCGGGGGCCGTACCGTTGTACCTGTGCCCGTACAGTCAGTGGTATACCAGATGGGCACCAGGAGCCCGCAGCGGGGCATGTGGCTGGGCTGAGCAGTTACCCCAGGGCAGATCTATCTCCATGGAGAGATGAGTGGTGGTTTCTGGGCAGAGAGGTAAAACTTCAGCAGAGCTGTTTCAAACTCGGGCAGGCTGCTGGGTATTGTCTTGGGACTTCTGAGGCAGTGACCTTAGCTTCCCTCGCCCAGCCAGGCCCTTCCCTTGCTGCCCGGCTCCAGGGAGTTTGACAGAAGCTTTTAAACTGGGTCTGGGGCATTTCTAATGTGCCTGTCGGTGTTGGAACAAGGTGACTTTGCTTTTAACAATCCCCCCCCCCAACACATGCCTGCTGCTGGACACGGGGGGCTCCCCACTCGCTCCCATAGTCCCCACAAAGCATGCGGCACAGAGCATGGAGCGGGGCTGTCAGCTGGTGCTGGCTCCTCGCAGGGCTGCACTCCACGCTCAGAGGAGCGAGCATTCAGGAACTGTAGTGTTGAGCTGCTCTCATCAGTTGGGCCTCCCGGCTCCCGCCTGCGTGCTCCCTGCTCTCTCCAGCTAACTGCACAGCCGCTGCGTGTCTTATCCCCTCACCCCCGGTCTCCGCATCCATCCGCTCCGGCCAGGCCTGAGTTAACGTGGTTGTGAAAGTGCAGGGTGGTGCCCATGCGCTGACCTACCAGTGCCCCTCAATCCTGATCTGCAGCCCCTGGTTACCCCACCTCTGGGATCCCCAAATCGACCCTGCTCTGCCCCATGCCACCCCTGCCCCACCACCCCAGCCCTGCCAAATAACTTTGTTCCTTTTCCTGCCGCCCCCTGGGTGCCCGCAGAAGAAGAAGTGCAGCCGAGAGAACAGGGGAGGAGCTCGGGAAAGTACCCACCTGCTGAGGCCTCGTTTCTGGTGCAGGAGTAGACTCCACTCATACAGCCAGGGGCACCCGGTCTCCAGCCACTCCTGGCACCTGAACACGGGCGAGATGCAAGACGCTGCAGCCAGGTAGCTGGAGGAGCCGCACTCCCCCAGGTAGGAGAGGAGCAGGCCCGAGCCGGAGCCCTCGCTCACGGCGCAGAGTGAGGAACCTGGCTGCCGCATGCGGATGTACGTCACCGCCTCCTTGAGGTCGCCTGGGTCCCCGAAGGCCTGCAGCTTCAGGCTGGCAAGCGGGCTGCCGTTGTGACCCCTGCGGTTGAAGATGACTGGCTTGTAGCCCTGCTCCAGGGCCAGCAGGCAGAGGTGCAGGACGCCTCTGGTGACCTTCCCGGAGGCATTGGGGAGGACAAGCAGCACCGGGGCAGTGCCAAAGGCAGTGGTTGCTCTACTCCTCTTACCGGTGCCACGGGGCCCCATGACCCAGTCCAGGGCAACCAGGCCCCCATCAGCCAGCTGCAGGAGCTCCCGGGCCAGCTCGGGCTGGCGGGCAGGGGGGAAGAGGAGCTGGAACATGGTCTGGAGCTGAGGCCAGGTCCTCCACAGCCAGCGCCCGCTCTGCCGGGCAGCGCCCCGTCGCAGGCTCCTCAGCAGGCTCTGGGCCAGGGCGGAGGATTTGCAGATGAGTCTGCAGCGCCCTGCCCCGGGCCCCTCTTCCCCAATGACATTGTCCCCGTCGTCTTCCTCGCCTGCACCCCCCGGCTCGTGGCTGGGGAGCAAGCTGCCCCAGCCTGGCCCCCAGAGCTCTGTGGCTAGGAGGCAGAGGAGGGCTAAAGCCAAGGCCCAGGCCGCAAGGCTCCCTAGTGCCAGCATGAGGTGCCTCGCACAGCTGGGGAAGAAGTGTCTCCCGGAGCCCCCTGCCTGGGCTCCGCAAGAGCAAATAATGGATTTGTTTGAGGGCGAGTGCGCGGATTGGATGGGGGTTGTGCAAGCGTTAACGCTTCCCCTGCCGGGCGCTCTCACCGTGGCCCTGGCTAGCTGCCTTGAGGATCCTCTCTCCAGCCAGGGGCTGGGGGAGGCGAGGGGGGGCTGGGGAGGGGTGTCTTGGTGCACTGGCCTTTCTCTGGACCTAGAGCAGGTCTTGGGGGCTGGGGGGCACCAGACACTGACGTCTGCACTCATAGGCAGGGACATCAGGCCTTGAATAACCCGCCCCTCCCCTGGCTGATCTGTGGTGTGGGGCTGGTGCCTGCCCTCCAGGGCCTGTGCACTGCGCGGGGCCCCCAGCGTAAAGCATTCCTGCCTCTTTCCACACCAGCTGGGGGGGCAGAGCGCTCGCCTCCTGCCCCCGCGTGGTGCCACGCTCCTCATGCGGAGAACGAGCGGCTCAGTTCCTGGGGTGGGCGAGCAGTGCAGATGCCTGGCCAGGCCGAGCTGCTGGAGCCCTGGAGGAGCCAGGCGCCCGCCCGGAAGCAGGGAATGGGGCACACGCAGGAGTGACCAGGCGAAGGGCGTTGACGTGGGCATACTGGAGTTCAGGTGAAATGAGTGCATGGCTCTTCTGGCCTAACCCACAGCTCATCTGCAGGCGCAGAGCAGAGGTACTGCCCCACGGCTCGGCTGCAGGGGGAGGGTTTCTCAGGGAGAGGCCTAGGCTGCTGGGAATTTTCCCTAGCAAAGCACTCTGCCTGCTGCACGCCCCCCCCCCCCCCGACGTGGCACAGAAAGGGAACCATTCCACCCTGTACCAGCCCTGCAGGCCCCTGTGCACCATAGTGGCTCCCAGCGCTGTGGGGTAATTCACCCCCCTCCTGCTCCCTCTACCACACAGCCCCCAGGAGGAGGGGCAGGCCCTTGTTCCTGGGTGCACTTTAAGGCCCCGATCCTGCGCTGAGTGCTGGTGGGTGACTTCGTAGGCTCAGGCTGTGAACCTGCCCTTCGACCCTTCCTTTTCTCTTGTCCTGGGCCCCGCGCGGGGTCTGTGTGCACCGTTCAGTGGGGCGCTCTGCACACAGACCCTGTCCCTCCCTGAGCCTCGCACTGCGGCGCCTGGGGGGGCCAGGGGCCGGGCAGGAGGGAGGATTCTGTTTCTCTGGGGCAGGAAAGCCCCCTGGGCACATGGGGGCATGTGCAGCTTCTGTGGCAGCCGGCAAGGGTGGGGATGGTGAAAGGCTACTGGGGCCAGGAGCTGCTAATCCTGCCACCAGCGCCAAGGCAATGGGCAAAGTTCTCTGCCCCCGGCTCCTCTCCCAGGCGCGCTGGGACAAAGTCCACACGCGGCGGCTCCAGGGGCCCCCAGGCTGGGTCTGCCCAGGGCAGGGCCTGTCCCCCACAGGCCATGTGGGCTGAGCCATGGGGCGGGGGCTCCACATGCGACCTCGCGGCGTAGAACAGAACCATGCCCATCCTGGGACCTGGCAGATCTCAGGGGCTGCCCTGTACCCACTGCCCCCTACCCCCCAGCCTCCCCACCCTGTACCTCCCAGCCCCTCCCTGCCCCGGACCCATACCGCCGCCCCCTGCTCGCTGGCCCACCACTGCCCCATACCCCCAGGCCCCGTACCGCCCCCCCACTGCCCCTATACCCCCAACCCCTCCTACCCTGGCCCTCCCACTGCCCACCCCCCACTTCTCTCGTCCACTCCCCACCCCCCAGCTCGCCGGGCTCTGACCCGGGCCGGATGGAGGAATCGCCGCGGGACCCGGCTGCTGGGCTGCGCGGCCGCAGCCTGCGACACCGGGCAGGTGCGGGCAGGGCGCGGGGGGGCGCTGGCTGGGGAGGGGCGCAGGGCTCGGGGGGGGAGCAGGCCGGGTGGGGCGGAGCAGGCCGGGGGCAGGGACCGGCAGGGCCTTGGGGTCCCTCGCGCATTAAGCTTTGTTCCTGAACTTGCCGTTGCAGTGGAGCTGGCGCTGGCTTGGCCCCCCGCGGGGCAGCCCTGGCTCCCCCCTTCTCTGCCCTGCCCCCGCTCAGCAGGCCCTAGGCATTGCATTAGCCCCATGGGTGCCCAGCAGCAGGGACCCCCTGAAGGGGACAGTCTGTTCGTCTGCCCAGGGGCACGTGCTGCCCCCTTACAGATACCGCCCCACCGTCGTCACGTGACAGGGCTGGGTCCTGGCACCACAGCTGGCACCCCCCTCCCCCCCCGTGCCAGACGCGTCTCTGGACCGTGCCAGGCCGGCAGGCGCCTTCCCCTTTAAATCCTACACAGCCCTCTCGCCCGCTCCCATTGGCTTCCCTGGGACCCGCGACCCGCCCTCCCGCAGCTGAGCCAATGAGAACGTGCCCAGATGGCAGCCCTGCCCTGGAGCCCCGCACGCCCTGCTCTGGCTCGCCTGTGGCTGGAGGCAGCGCCCGTTTGCGCCCTGCGGGCACCCGGCCGAGGCGCGAGGCCGGCTTGCAGGTCAGAGCCGCTGGCAGAGTGTGGCTGGGTGGTGCCCTGGCACGGCCCCTGCCCCCGCCAGCAATGCGGGGCGCTCGGAGGTCTGCGACCACCAGCAGGGCGCTGGGGCGGGGGGGCACCCGGCCGGAGCATGCGCCTGTGGAGGGGCCCCACGCTCAGCCTGCAGCTGTTAGCACCGGGCTGATCGTGTAAAAGGGGGTCACGCCCCGAAGGAGCCCGAGGGCAGAGGGGGGGGCGCGCTCTGGGGAGGGGAGGTGTGAAAGGGGCGCTCCGGCACTGGCTTTGCGCCCCACCGCCTGCTGGGGGCTGTGGCCGGTGAGTGCACTTCTGTCGCCCCAGCACGGGGTGAGTGAGCCCGGGGCACGTGGGAGCGGTTCCCCGTCCGAGCCGAGACGCCGGGGGACGAGGTGTACAGCACCCTGCTCCCCCACTCGGCTGCATCAGGCCCCGGGGTGCCAGCGCGTCTCCCCCGCAGCAGGGCTGTAGTCCTGCCAGCCTGGTGGAGGGCGCTGCCCTTTCACCTTTGCACCCCTCGGAGCAAGGGTCAGGCTTCAAACCCTTGCTAGCATGCAGGAGTCGGCCCCTGCTCCACTGACATGCCTCTTCTCTGCCCCCAGCACGGAGGGGGTGGCCTTCCTCGATTACCCGTGCCCCCTCCCCAGCCTCCAGGCCCGGCTGGTCCAATACAGCCTGACCCGCCACAGCAGCGTCATGCAGGAGCGGGTGAGTCGGGGACTGCAGGGGGAGGGGCTGGCTGGAGAATCGGGGGCCAGAGCAGAGCTGCCTGGGCTAGTGGGTGGGGGGCAGAGTCACAGGGGCTGATGTCCTCAGTGCACACACCCCCCCCCAGCAGGCGACCAGCCCAGACCCATTTGGGGCACTAGGGAGTAAGCCAGCAGCTAGGAAAAGTGGCATTGCACCCACGTTCGGCAGATGCCCAGTGGGCATCCCATGGCGGGTGCAGAGGCAGGAAGTGGGGCCGGTTTTCGATATCACGTAACTTTTCAATGTTATCAGGCATCCAATCCCAAACCATGAAATCCCAGCAAGGGCCATTCCTCAAAGACCCAGAGTCTAATTGTGCAGAAAGCTTCTAAATACCATTGATAATGCAAGTGTGTCCTCAGGGTAGTCCTGTTCTGGAGAGTGGGGGAAATGTTTCACCTCAGGAGATAGTTTGTGCATTTCCCTGAACCTTTTTGCCTTTGGTTAAAGCAAAAGGCCGTAGTGACAGGACAGCAGGAGTGTGGCTGTACCATGTAATACATCTCACTATTTGTCACGCGTTGTGGAATGGACTGATTTGAGAAAATGTAATTATAAAACAGATTTCTGCTCGGCCAGAGACACTAGTGTAAAGCAGCCATGGGACGACTGTAATTATTTCTTACTGTCACTGACTACAATGACAGTACATGTAAAGTACTGACATAACAGTAAGGGCCCTTTGTAGAAGGGCTGCAGAATGTCTTGGGAGAGTATATTGTGGGAACACTGCAGTATACCCAGAGACTTGTACGTAACCCCTACATAGAACTACTGCATGGCTAATGCAACGTCCTTCCTATGGTTTGTAGTCACAGTAATTTGCAGTATCTGTCTCTGACGTGTCCGATGCGCCGTTGCTGCATTTGTCACTGTCACAGCCGCATGCATCAGAGCCCACCGCATCTTCCCTACCGCGCCTGCTCTCCCAGCTTGGTATCGCCCGCAGACTTGATATGTGCACCCTCTTTGCCATTATCGATATCACTGATGAAGCTATTGACCAGATCCAATCCACTCGGGTTAGTTTGACATGATTTGTTCTTGACTTATCACCGTATTATCTTCTAGCTGCTTCCACAGTGATTGCTTGATTATTTGCTCCATTATCTTTCTGACTGGCCCAGAATTCCCTGGGTTGTCCTTTAGAGCTAGGTACGGTATTTGCTGATCTATCACCTGGGGCTAAATACTTCCCAAACTTACCAGACCAGGACTGGTCGCACTCCACACCTGCATTAGCAATTGTATTTAGAAGCTTTCTGCCAATTTGGGTCAAAGTCAGCCTCTGGTGGGCCGCCACCTGGCACTTTGTGTGTTTACAGGTTTTCCTGCCTGGATGCCCAATGCCCGTGAGGTGGGTCACTCGCCCTCTGACCTGACCCATCCCCAGCGCCTGGCACTGGCCGTGTGGGTGCCATGCTGGAGATGGCACGGGCCGTGGACGGCTGAGGAAAAGCATCCAGAGGGTCTGGGATGGAAGGGGGGGCGGCAGGTGGTGTGGGTCTGGGGCAATGCGGGCAGGTGAGCACAGCCACATGTAGTGGGTCTAGGGGCCAGCTGGCAGCAGCTCCCAGAATGGAGGTGGCATTGATGGAGGAAAGGGATGGGAGTCCTAGTCCAGCTCTGTACCTGGCTGCAGGTTATTCCCGTCCCCTCCATGGCAAATGGGGTAGAGCTGGCACTGTGGGGCTGGCACTAGTCTTACAGGGGAACCAGCAGGTGCTCCCCATTTCTGACCCCCCCTTCTCACCCCCCAGGCCTTGCTGAACCACCCCAGACCCCGCCGCTCACGCTCGGTGGGGGGGAGGCCTACGGCAGCCCGGCGAGGCCCCCATGTGTTGGACAAGGCACTGCCGGTGCCTGAGGGACACCTCCAGCCGCGCTCCAGGATCACTGGCAGCAGCAGGAACAAGTCGGGGAGCCTGACACCAGAGCTCCCAGGAGCCAGCGTGGGCCCTGGGCACAGCCAGGCAGGGGGTGGGGCGACCCTTGAGCCCAGAGGTGACTGGAATCACCTGGACACAGCGCCACCCCCTGGCAGCTCCCTGAGCACCCGAGCCACAGGTGGGCAGCACTCAGCCCCCATGCTCCCACCAACAGACGCTCTGCCGCAGGCCAGTGCAACTCCCGGAGGTGTCAATGGGCCTGCGGCTCTGCCCCCCCCAACGCCCCAAGTGCAGGAGGGCCCTGGGCGCCTGGCATGCTCGTGTCCCAACGCTGTGGCCCAGCGGGGAGCCGCGCCGGAGGGGCAGGCCCCACAGGCCTACGTACCCACGCCCCGCACGGAGGAAGCGGCCTGGGCCGCCAGCGCCCTGACCTTCCTGCTGGTGGTGCTGACCCTCGCCATCCTGTACACCCGGCTTCACCGCAAGTGCCGCAAGAGCCAGAGCCTCTACTGGGCCCCGGGCGACGCGGGGCAGGAGCCCCTGGCCGGTGAGTGCCCACAGCACCCCCTCCCCTCCCCTCGGGTGAGTGCCCACAGCCACCCCCTCCTTCCCCCCCCCCTCCGGTGAGTGCCCACAGCCACCCCCCCTCCCCTCGGGTGAGTGCCCACAGCACCTTCCTCCCCCCCCCCTCCCGGTGAGTGCCCACAGCACCCCCTCCCTCCCCTCGAGTGAGTGCCCACAGCCACCCTCCCTCCCCTCGGGTGAGTGCCCACAGCCACCCCTCCCCTCAGGAGAGTGCCCACAGCTGCCACCACCCACCCCCCTCCGGAGAGTGCCCACAGCACCTTCCCCCCTCGGGTGAGTGCCCACAGCACCTTCCTCCCCCCCCTCCGGTGAGTGCCCACAGCCTCCCCTCCCCTCGGGTGAGTGCCCACAGCACCTTCCTCCCCCCCCTCCGGTGAGTGCCCACAGCCTCCCCTCCCCTCGGGTGAGTGCCCACAGCACCTTC